AATTCCCTGAACAGTATAATAAGACAGCGTTCATATCCATTACATACCAGATTTACATAACAGATACATGAATGTCTTTTGACAACATCAGACACCATGTTAAACGTTTCCTTCCAACCTCGCTTCTTTCAGTCTTCCTGCTTTCTGATAATAATACAATGATCTATCATACTCCCTCAAATCTCTGAAATCATCTATAAACAAGACTCTTCTTTACTTTTTCATCATTGTGAGGCCTGTCAATCAGTGTTACTGTCTATATGCTAATTTCCCCATTTTGAAGTCAACATGCAAAATGCATAACTGCTCCTTACGACCCCCTCCCCCACCCCGATTTGACATTTCATTTGTTTAATGCATCAGAGTAAAACACACTATTTCTTTTTAATCAAACATTACAATGACGTCATTTAATCTTAGCCGATCATTAAAAAACCATGTTTATACTAAGTTAATTTTGTCTCTTTAAATTTTTGGGCGATAAGGCACGCTTGAAACGTTTTTTTAATGTTTGTCTTTCTCATCCTAAAAGAAATATTCTTTAAACTGTTGCGTTTAGATATGACGCGGCGACAAGCCCTATGCTCGATGTTCAAACATCTATAAAATTAATTTGATTTAACATAATTAGACAAAAGTTTCGATGTTTATTAGATTTTTTAAATATATATGTATATGCATATTTGGTGTATTGTATTTGATAATATGACACCAAATACAAAAAACATGGACACTGTGACATTACTTTTTGGATCATCTAGGTCTGCGTATAGCGTTGTAGTATGATCTTGAATGTCATGGCGGCAGCGTAGCACAAACGCAATAAACACAGACGCTGGTCGGCACCAGTTTGTGTAACATCGTAGAAGAAGCATGTTAGCAGCGTGTTTAACGTAAGGGCAACGCAGTACTGTCGTAATGAAGACCATAATTTGCCAAATTACTCGATTAAGAAGCCGATCGGCCCCGATTTGCCCTGATCTAAAACTTTTTTCAGATCGTGCCTTGATCGGGATGATCGTCGTAAAGTCGCAGCTCTTTGTGTCTTGGCATAATACATTAAACCGAAAGAATCTTATTTAGAAGCTCGACCACATCAATTATTATGTATTTAAAATCCGGGAAGGAAATTAAAAACTCCAGTTAAATGATTATTTGTCATATCCTTATCACATTTTCTTTTATTACAGTCTGTCTCGAGACGTAAGTACCTTCTTCAGTATACTTAATACCTCACTACCATATAGATAGAAAATTTCCCATAGACAAATCTTTGTATTTGAATTCTCTCTCAACATTTGTTTCAGACAATACGATTTTTGACCAATAGGGATACTTCAAGAAGAGGTGAAAATTTTACATGATCCAAGATTTTAAACAAGGAATCAATAAATCTAATTTTATTTAAAAAAAAAAAAAAAAAAAAAAAAAAAAAAAAAAAAACCATGTACACTCTTATTTGGCCTAAATGACTTTAAATTTCATTTTGTTACAATTCTATTTACTCAATTTCTACAACGAAATAGGTTAACACAATATTTGTGAAATTCTCTGTCAAACTTGAAATAGATAATAGGATTGACAATATTATTCAAGATAAATAAACTGTTCAAAAAGCGCAGGACAGTGAATACAGGTGGGGAAGAGGTTTCCTCTACACCCTTAAATAGGACCTTAATTCCATTTACTGCGAGGGTTGGTAACCATGTGATCACATACACAACGGATATAGCCAGGAACATGATGGCATACTCTCGTTTTTCTCTTTTGGGTCGAAGTTTCGAGGATGCCCTCTTCAAACTACCGTTCATTGTTCCTTTGGCACCATCCTTCACACTCAATGGAGTTTTAATGCTTTGAAGTTCCGAATGTGAGTCGGATTCCTCGGCATTTGACGGGTGAGGAAGAGGAGAACTAGAAAAGCTTGCCTCAGTCCTGCTGGATGTACTGCTTTTTCGAAACTGAATCTGTCTTTTGATTGTTCTGTGTATCAGAAAGCTTAAAACACTTATCACTAAACACGAAGCAAGGAATATGGAAGCAATAATGATAAAATATATCCAAAAATAAATCTCCATGTACGTGTGGTACAAAACCGTACACTTTTGGCCGTATTCTTCGTAGAAAATTTGTTTGTATTTGTATTCTCCCACAATGGGAATCATTGGAAGAGTAAGGACAAGTCCGGCTATCCCTGCGACTAAGGGGGAAAACTTGACCACTTGTACTGGGAATTGTTTCTTGAAAGGAGTGCACACTTTTCTGTGACGATGAATAGAAATAATCACCAACATTAATGATGCTCCCATTGTGCAGGAATACGCCAAAACATAGTAAAACTTGCAGAGCGCATCACCCGAAAACGAGGCTGCCTGTAAATTCTGGACCAAATAAATGATAGATCCAGCAATGCAAGACAATAGGTCTACAACCGCTAAAGCTGGAATGAAGGCGCGACCACTCAAGGGATCCACTTTTATACTGAAACAGTAAATTTTTATGACTATGGCATTCCCAATAACCCCACATACAAGGAGGATTACAATAACTACAGTCACATAAATATAGTCCAGAGCAAGTATTGAATTCAGGTCAGCGTTAATGTAGGAGATGTTCTCGTCATTAGTAAAGTTTCCTTTTTGAATGGAGGACAAATTCTGGTCATAAGATGTGTTCCCCTCCATTTGCACTATTTTTCTCGTGGTAAGTAAGAAAAGAGTCTGATTTTTTCCCTATATATATATGGAACATCTTCCTTGTTAATCTCCTAAGTTTTCTACGTATTTAAGTGGTTAAATTCTACATTTAAAGCTACCGGAAACAAGGCAGGACACTTAAGCATGATTTCCTATATCCGTCCTTTTCATTGTTCCTGATATTTCATTTTTTAAGCATGTGTTCGATATATTGATCTTCCACAGCTCATCCCTAAGCAATTCATGTTTTGCAGTTCTAAAATAAATTAATGTAGGTTCCTTTATTGTTGAGTTACATGTATAACTTATCACAGTTGATAACAAATATTCCCTCAGATTTTGCGAGTTACTAATGAATCACAATATCACATACAGTGTATTTCACTCAAAGGGGCTACTTTGTTCTAAACACTTATCCCGTGAGTTCATAATTTAAGGTCTTTCTACTCTCACAATTCAAATGGTTCAAAGTATAAAAACTGCATTATTTTCATTAATAAAGTTTAAATTTACCATTTATTGCAAAAAATATATAGGTCGCCATATTAATTAATATGGGAGACATAAATAACCAGATGTACATGTCAACATAAAAAATCGTACATTTTTTGTAAATAATATGATAAAAAAATATGTAAAAACTGGTTCAAATGCATTAATCTGATGCTGAAAAATTTTATTACTTGCTGCGAATCAGATACTTTTAATTGTGAACATCAGGGAAAAATCAATGATCGATACCCAAGTGAAGACTTGTCACAAGAAATAAACTTATGGAAAATAATAAAACACGTGAAAGATTAAAGCCATAGCTCCAACCAATAAAAAGATATGGGCAAGGTTTAATTCTTGCGGACAAACATCCAAAAGTTATATAAGAAGAGTAAACACAGATCAATAGAGCATCAGATTTGGGTTCAGGTACCATGGTGGATTGAACATTGCAAAAATAGGGTATGTCTTTGTATTTAATATTTTTTGCGTTTATTAAAAATATTAATGGGACTTTGACATGGTGTGGCATTGCATAGCCATATTTGCGCACATTAGTACTATGGCGTCATATACGTTTTGTTTTCAGCACCATCGGTCTTTAGGGTTTGGCGCAGACGATCGGACTTTGACGGACCCAATAATTTATAGAAGACGAAGATTTGATTTTTAATTGACTGCAAAATTATTGTCAAATAATATACGCAAATCTTTTAAAAGCACATTTAGAAGATTATACAATAATGTAATATAAATTAAATTAATCAAAGAAAATTGTGAATGTACATGAATTGGAAAAATAAGCATGATTTCTTTTTGGATTTTGTCATTTAAAATACACTTGCAGGGGTATATTTTTCCACGACTTGTTTATTTAACATTATATATATATGTTTTTTAGTTTGCTTGTTTCCTTTTTTCAACTTTGAAAGTTCATTTTTCAACTTTAAATGGGAATTATCTAGTGTTTTTGAAACTATTTTGAATGAGTAAAACGCTAAACTGAAAGATTTGGAATTGATTCTTTCCTGTAATTGCACTATTATGACATTATAAGTTAAGAGGATTAAGTGGTATACTTATATCTGGTCTAGAAATCAGACGAAGGCTTGTTTCTATATTGTGTGTTTGTAAACACATATGATATGATGATCCATTATCTGCCCACAAATCTAACATTATTTTATTAAATTTCTTTACTTGAAATAAACAAATTATTTAGCCTGGATTATATATTTCTTCATTTTAATGTGTTTGTATAATATCTAATTGCATTCCTGAGTAAAATTCTATTATACATATAAATAATTATAAACTTTTATGACTATTTATTAAGTCTATCTATTAAATGCTGTGATATGTTAAATTGATGTGGTAGTCTATGTTCACATAAGAAATGCCTTGCTTTTCACTGGATGTATGAACTCAGCAGGGTGATATAGATATCAAGTTAAATTATCTATGTAAATTTGGTAATATCATGCTATAGACCCGATATAGTAATATGTTTTGTTTTTTTTTTTTGGAAAAAGAACAATCATTAAACTTTTGAAATAGAAGTAGGTATCATAATAGTTGGCAACAGTTATTTTTTATTCTTAATGTCAAGAAAAAAAGATAATGACCTTGACCTGACCTTGCCTCTAATATAAAACGGTCAAATTTAATTTCACTGATACTATCACTTACTGGTATTGTCTTCTTGATTCTGTGAAAATTTCATTACTTTTCAAATATTAGAAATATGATAAAAATCCTACCTTAACACAAGATTACTAATGTATGGAATCCGGATAGGGCCACGCAGTTCACTATCGCATCATCGCACCATCGAGATTTGAGTTGATGGTGCGATGACGCGATAATGCGATGACGATGAAGCGATGGTGCGATAACGATGAAGCGATGGCGCGATAGCGCGATAACGATGAAGCGATGGCGCGATAGCGCGATGACGATGATGC